CCCCCCCCCCCCCCCCCCCCTCCTTCATCCCCTGGAATTTCCGTAATTTTCCAACTTGGTTGAGTACCCCCTGGAAAAAATGTTTCCGTCAAAAATGCTAATTGTCTCTGCGATAAAAAGAGAAAAAACTTTTATATTTATGTTCATACAGTGTCAAACAATCTCAATTTTGTCTGGTAGAGGTCTTTCTTAGTTAATAATTAACGGCAAGTCACTGAGAACTATGGAGGCGGTACGAGGACAATCGTGTTAACTAAACTATTGTACCAGCCGTGAAAAAAGCACTCAGCCTGCCAAATCATCGGTGAAAATAATAATTTCTGCTTTCAAACACCGATTAACAGTGAAATAACTGGTAGCTTGCTCATCAATCTTACTCGGAGCCCTCGGAAAAAAGACTCGAGAGGCCACCCCTCATCCCCTCGGAAATTGCCCCTTTTTGAACCCCTACCCCCTCCCCTCTGAATTTCCGTTGCCCTCCGTGCCGGGGGGAAAGGTATGGATATTTTCTGGAACTACACAATTTTACAAGTAAAGCGAGGAACACGTTTGCTTAAGTTTCAACCAATGCACTGTACTGTACAGTGTATTTTCAAGCCAACATTTAGCATGTTGTGGTTTGTTTTGCCTTATTTGGTGTTTTTTTAATACTCCATGGAAAATCAGTAGAGCGCTTTATTGTAGGGCGGGAGGTCGCGGGTTTGATTACCGTGACTGTACTAATACTTAAAACAACTAAGCAGTGAAGGTACTACCTTTGCCCTGCGTTGCTTCAATGATGCAGAACCGTCAGTCCCGTCTCCAGTAGGAGACGTAAAAACTGTGTCCTCAGTTAGTACAGTGGAACCTCGACATAACGAAGGACCAAGGGACTGGCAAAATTTGTTCGCTAGAACGAGGTTTCGTTATGTCGAGGTTCTTTTTCATCTATTTTGCTATTACTTGGACAAAGAAAATCGTTCGTCACACGGAGGAATTAGTTATATAGAGGTTCGTTATATCGAGGTTCCGCTGTAGTTCTATGTAAAATACATCCACACTTTAAGTTAAGTAGGGTAATGAAATAAGGCGAAGCTTTCGATTCTTTCATCGCATTCGCTACTTTGCACAAAGAGCCTCTCTACTTTTTCTGACCAGTAGCAGCCTCTCAATTCTTCCGCGGGGTGCAAAAAGATCAGGACAAAACGTAACCTGCGATCAGGCGATCCTTCTTCCCTTTTGTTTTGGAGGGGAGGGGAAAAGGACTTTTCCTGAAAAAGCCTGATCGCAGGTTAAACAAAACGAGGAATTTCTCTGTTTACATAGTTTCCCTTATAGGAGGACGATTACACGTGTGCGTTTCGTTAAAGTAATGACTTTTTCAATCACGCTGAGGTTGGTAGGGAATTAGAGACACACAATTGTTTTCTCAAAACAGTCATGGCTACCATTTTCACGATCACTAACGACCTAACTCTACGTTATTTTTAATCCGTTGCTGTTTGTCTTCTTTATTAGAACTCTGTGCTTTTCCCGCGGAGTGAATGTATCCTACTTACTGAGGCAGAACTACAGGAAAAGGGAGTCACATTTGACGAAGAGTGAAGAAAAAGGAGCCTTGCTCACCACACCAAAAGCACGAAGAGACCTGGACACTAAATGAACCACTACCACCTGTGCGGCAATCAAATAAGTATTCCCATATGTAAATTATCCCTTTGGTATCCCTCTAATTTTAGTATCCCCGCATTTTGGGTATCCCCCTAATTTAAGTATCCTCGCATTTCGGTTACCCCGTAATATCCCCGTATCTTGGTGTCACCCTAATCTAAGTATCTCGCATTTTGGTTGTTTCTCTGAATTAAGTATCCCCATATTTTGAACCCCCGCCCTCAAGTCCCTGGTGATGTGGGTGAAAAGACTGATCCTACCTTGGTCATTTTACAACCACTGTAACCGGCTCTACAACTTGATTTCTTTATAATGTCCTTGTTATTTCAGTTCGTTGCGATGTCCTTAAAAATAGTGGAATTAAATTGTAGTTTTTATTTCACAACGATCGATCACCAGCTCACTAAAAGATCTTCAAGACAAAGTTAGAATGAAAGGCGTGTTTTAAAAGGACCTGGCTACTGTGATTGCTGGTGATCACATAGACAACAACCACCAGTTTTCAAAACTTTCCTCATACGCTTTACGTGTCATGCAGTGATCTTTTGGTATGCAAACTAATCACATAAGGCAACCTTTAAACAATCACACGAGGCCATTTTA